TTTTTTTCCGGCAGGTTTACTGGTTTTGGAAATCCAGTTCCTTACCGTCCTGCTGAGGACTTGGCATTTGCTGTTGCAAAATTTATACAGAAGGGAGGTTCCTTCATCAATTATTACATGGTATGTTTATCATCTCTGATATTCAAGAGTGTTGGTGTTTCTTCTGATGTCAAGAAAATTATGTTGCTTATGATTTTCTTTTCCCTTTTTTCCGCAGTATCATGGAGGAACAAACTTTGGACGGACTGCTGGTGGTCCATTTATTGCTACTAGTTATGACTATGATGCACCACTTGATGAATATGGTATGCACCTTTTCTTTGTAATCTTGTTTAGATTGAGTTTCTTCAGTTAGTCAATTAGCTGTTAATTCTAACTTCTTATGGATGAGATTTATTGAGTATCGAGTCCATGATTTAGAACTAGGAAGAAACTCAGAAGAGATCATCTGCATCTTAAGAAATGTATTATTTAGCCCAATTTAACATTTTCAATTTGGTCTTTAGGATTATTGCGACAACCTAAATGGGGTCACCTGAAAGATCTGCATAGAGCAATAAAGCTTTGTGAACCAGCTTTAGTCTCTGGAGATCCAGCTGTGACGGCACTTGGACACCAGCAGGAGGTGAGATTTAACTGAGTGCTTCTTGAACTGGTCACTATTACTACGTTCGCACTGAGAGTAACTGGAGCTTCATTTCTTTTACAGGCCCATGTTTTTAGGTCGAAGTCTGGCTCTTGTGCTGCATTCCTTGCAAACTATGACCAACACTCTTTTGCTACCGTGTCATTTGCAAACAGGCATTACAACTTGCCACCATGGTCAATCAGCATTCTTCCCGACTGCAAGAACACTGTATTTAATACAGCACGGGTAAGAAGAAAGGCTATACTTTCTCCCTGAAATAGTTTATGCTGTTTAGAGAATCATTCATGACCTGGAGATTGCCTCCTAACTAACTGATAACGTTATTGTTTCCATGTGAAGATTGGTGCTCAAAGCGCTCAGATGAAGATGACTCCAGTCAGCAGAGGATTTCCCTGGCAGTCATTCAATGAAGAGACATCATCTTATGAAGACAGTAGTTTTACAGTTGTTGGGCTATTGGAACAGATAAATACAACAAGAGATGTGTCTGATTATTTGTGGTATTCAACCGAGTAAGTGCCTATGTAGCGTTTGACTCCTCTCCACATATTGAATTAAGAAAAACACACACACTTGAATTACATTGGATCAGCCACATGTTTATGATTGTTTTTCTGTCTTCAGTGTCAAGATTGATTCAAGAGAAGAGTTTTTGAGAGGCGGAAAATGGCCTTGGCTTACGATCATGTCAGCTGGCCATGCATTGCATGTTTTTGTGAATGGTCAATTAGCAGGTATGTGGCATAATTAATTGTATTTGACGTGATTTACAATTTGAATCATTACTTGTGCGCGTTATACTACTGCTTATATGTTAAAAAGGAAAAAGTGGTGGACCATTTTCAGTTTATCTGTTTGCTGTAAAGTTTCTTAAATCAAAAGCTGAGGGCTATTTGGTCTCATCAAGCAAATACAATAAGTATACAGTTTGTGTAATAATAAAAAAACTAAAGGCCCTATCACCCTGTCGCATTGTGGCGGTTTTTGTATTTACATCTCTTTGTTCAAATTTCTTGCAGGAACTGCATATGGAAGTTTAGAAAAACCAAAACTTAGTTTCAGTAAAGCTGTAAATCTGAGAGCAGGTGTTAACAAGATTTCTTTGCTGAGCATTGCTGTTGGCCTTCCGGTGTGTTCTCTCTCACTGTTGCCCTCTTACTTTATTATATATGCATATTAGTCGAACATGTGCTTACTTGCCTCCTTCCTCATGTGCTCAACTGCAGAATATTGGCCCACATTTTGAGACATGGAATGCTGGTGTTCTTGGTCCAGTTTCACTCAGTGGTCTTGACGAGGGGAAAAGAGATTTAACATGGCAGAAATGGTCTTACAAGGTTAGTGTGTATAAAATGTTCCAAAACAATAAGCCGGATGCTCCATTGCATGGTTATCTAAACTTCCACATTTTTATCAGGTTGGTCTGAAAGGAGAGGCCTTGAGCCTTCATTCACTCAGTGGTAGCTCGTCCGTTGAATGGGTCGAGGGCTCTTTGGTGGCTCAGAGACAGCCACTCACTTGGTACAAGGTGCATACCTCATACTTAAACCTTCTTCTGTACCAACTTAGTTGTACATTTTTGACATTAAGTCATCCCTCTGCAAGAAAGGCATACTTAAATTTTTGTGTTATGTATACAGAGCACTTTCAATGCTCCAGCTGGAAATGATCCTTTGGCTTTAGACTTGAATACCATGGGCAAAGGACAAGTGTGGATAAATGGTCAAAGCCTCGGACGCTACTGGCCTGGATATAAAGCATCTGGTAACTGCGGTGCCTGTAACTATGCAGGCTGGTTTAATGAGAAAAAATGCCTTAGTAACTGTGGAGAGGCTTCACAACGAATGTAAGTAATGGTAAACCTTGTGCATTTTCATTCGATGTAACAAGAAGCTCTAACTTAACTTAACTGGGAATTATATAATTCAGGTATCATGTTCCTCGTTCTTGGCTGTATCCTACTGGAAATTTGTTAGTTCTATTTGAGGAATCGGGAGGAGAGCCTCGTGGAATCTCTTTGGTAAAAAGAGAAGTTGCAAGTGTTTGTGCAGATATAAACGAATGGCAACCACAGTTGGTGAATTGGCAAATGCAAGCATCTGGTAAAGTTGACAAACCACTGAGGCCTAAAGCTCACCTCTCGTGTGCTTCTGGTCAGAAGATTACTTCAATCAAATTTGCAAGCTTTGGAACACCACAGGGGGTCTGTGGAAGCTTCCGTGAAGGAAGCTGCCATGCCTTCCACTCATATGATGCTTTTGAAAGGGTATTTACAAGTCTTTACTCTTTGTTAGATAAACCTGTTTCTTTTCATTCTTGAAGTAGCTATCTTCTGTATAGACCTGATTGAACAACTCTCTCTTTTTCCAGTATTGCATCGGGCAAAACTCATGCTCAGTACCTGTAACACCAGAGATTTTTGGAGGTGATCCATGTCCACATGTTATGAAGAAACTCTCAGTTGAGGTTATTTGCAGTTGATGACACTGAGGATAAACAAATAAAGTGGTTTCAGTTAGTTGTCTGAAGATATATATTTGAAGATCCATTACATATAAAAAAGTTGGCTTTGATGGAGGTGAAGTTGTACAGATATGCAACACACCTTTCCATTTGAGGCTCATATGAATTGCAATAGCCCAAGATTCTGTACATATTATGTTGGTTACTGTCAAGTTGGTATTGGTTTGCAAATGTAAAACAATAGTATAGTCATTGGTTCAAGTGCGCATCGAGATTGTGCTAGTGGGAGGTAGGTGGTTCTGGAGGAATAGTCGAGGTCTGCACAAGCTGGCCTAGATACTGCAGTTATAACAAAAGAAGCACATTGAGACTGATTCTTGATTAGTCCATGTGTAAATATTGTTACTGTTAGAATTTGCAAGTCTTATGGTTTCAGTATTTTAATACTCTTTATCTTATGTAAAAATAGCAATATTTCATTGCTTTGTACCTGCAAAAATGCTACTATGATGATGTGAAATAAACATAAAATTCTCTTCAACAGATGTTTTTGAAATCTTCTTCAGTATTTTTATGACTTTGTTCCCAGGCAAGGTTCAATAATTTTGATGTGGCCAAATAATTTTGTGAATTTACTGCTACATGGATAAAGTTTTGTTTCTTTAATACTTCAACTACTTAGGTAGCTGTTATTTTATATGTGAGGTTTGGGAATAAAGTGTACTCAAATCTTACTCTATCTCGAGGAGAGAATAAAAGATCTTTCAACACATAGCTATATCAAAGATCTCCTCTTATCCATCTAAGCACTAAAATTCAGGAGAATTGATTTCGTAGGCTATTTATAATTTTTTTTTAATTTTGTCATTTTTATGAGAGATCTTTAGTTTTATACATAAAAAATATAGAAAAAAAAATCATTTTCTTCTATTTAATTTATAAATGACACAAAAAACTCATTTTCACTTAAATTTCCTAATCAGAAAATAAAAAAATTGCAAAATGAGCACCCAAAAAGTAGATATTGCTAACATGGGTGAGGGTATTAGGCTTAATCCAATAAGGATTACCATGTCTAAGAGCTGATTTAAATTGACTTATTTTAGATATTTTAGGTCAAAATACTTATTACTCCATTTATTTTTATTTATTCATTTTGAACTATACATGTCGTTAAAAAAAATATTAATTAATGATTAATCTCAGTTCTTGGGAAAATAATTTAAAACTTAAGTAATTAATATTAAGTATAGAATATAAAAACAATTATTTGCTAAAGGGAAGAAATACCTTGTTTGTTTCAATTTGTTTGTCCTACTTTTCTTTTTTGTATATTTTAAGAAATGTCTTTTCCTTCTCCTTTTTTTACAACTCTTTAATTTCAATTTTTCATATGACAAGTTTAAGTTCATAAGATTGAAGAATATTTTAATATATTTGACATATTTTTAATTTTAGACCATAAAATAGTAAGAGTATATTTTTAATACAATGGATAAATAAACGTAAACGGGGGAGTAGCTGTTAATTATTTTTTAAATATTTTTCGTTTGTATGTGATATCCATGTCGAAATCCGACTAAATTTAAATTTACACCAACAAATCTACAGGTAAAACGCTTCGGAACAAAGATATTAAAAAAATAAAAATAGTGCGTTCACAAATCACAGCAATAAATACCAGAGGTCATGTCCAGTCGGCAATAAGGCCCTACCATTGGTACCCACAAAATCCTTGTTACTCACCTCTTTGCTCTTCGTCTTCTCCAAATCGGAACTGTGGAGATAGCTCACCGGAGAAATGGTGTTGTTGTTGAAGAAAAAGGAACGGTGATCGGAAATTGACAAAATAGGAAGAAGCTTTTTCCAATTTTACCTAAAATAAGAAATGAACATTCAACAACTCATTTTTTTAGTTAAACTTGCCCTATTTTTCTTCATTATAGTAATCGCTACTGTTCATGGCTACTTAACGTGGCTTAGCTCTACTTCCGCTTCCATTCTATTAGCTGATCTTCTTTCAGTACTTCTCCACCGCTACTCCCTTTATATCTCTCGTCTTTATCATTTCTTCCACCTTGAAAATCCTAGACGAAAACGCCGTCATTCTGATATCCTAGCGCCATTAGTAGCGGTATTCGTAGCGCCACTGTTTAGCCACAAATTATTTGACGACATAAATGTGACTGCTTGTATGGTGGTATCAACTACGTTTTACCCTCCAATGATGCATTACTTTGGTAGACCTAGAAATTTTCGGGTATTGAATGTGTTATTTATGCTTTCTGTTAATATTTCTTATGGGGAATTTGGATTTGGGCCTAATACTTGTGCATCTGTTGCTTTTTTCACTTACATTGCTGTGTTGGCGGGGCAAGCAGAGGCAGGTGCAGCTTATGAGGATGATCTTCACCATTTGACATTGAATCAGGTTATGTCGAATTTGATGATAGGTACATTTTATAATGGTAATACTGACAATTGTTTTGTTATGGTAGTACGGAGACGATTACGTTAGTTAGTTAGCTAGACTGTGATTATTAGTAGAACAGTTGATGTAAGTAGACTATCTGCGATGAAGGTTAATTGGTAAAACGAATACGGAGTGTACATTATTGCTTCTTTGTAAATTTGTTGAGTACAATTTACTTGGAAGTTAATTAACTCTTCAATTCCTCTAGTCGTTTGGTTAATTGTTTTATGGAATGGAGAAGGCCAACTAACACAAACACCTTATGCAATAGTTGCTCGAAATGACTCACGAAACTTCACCACGATAATGAATTCAATCTTGGAAACACCATGTAACAGCATTGATAATATACAACATAGAATGGGCTGGCATTAAGAGCATAAGCTAATCTTAGTACCTTCAATATTTTGAAGGCTACCCTATACACAAGATATAGCAGATAATTGTTGCAGGGATTGTGAAATCTTTGGCACTGTCGACATGATTCACTGTGATATAACAATCCTATTCAAGATTTGTTTAATTGAATCATGCGTAATACAATCATGCACCAAAAAAAGAAAACATGAGAACAGATCAATAATCAATGTTTTATTGTGTACTCCTGTTTCCCTTTGTTGTCATTTGGTGCTGCCATGATCTAACCTATTATCGTGTCAAGTAAACCTATGCCATCTTGAGGACTATTTCATGAGATGGTTGTGTTGTGGTCTTCTCCACCCCATATGAAAGTGTTGTGGTAGTCAGCCTCGTTGATGCAAGTTCTAACTCCCCTGCACTTGACCAAATATGAATCTGGTTTTCAAGTCAACTTTAGTACATAGTCACAGATTAATTAATGTACAAGCATTTGAGCTAAGTATTTTGCTCCATCAATGTACTTGGATCATATTCTCCAGAGGGATCATTGAGCTTAAACTTTAGGAGATGTAAAGAATGGTTGTTTCAATCAGTTGCTTATAAAAAGAGATACTTTCAAGCTACTATCAATTTAACTACAGGTCTGGTGGCTTTCTCATCACTTGGGATGGTGGTGTTAGGGCGGTTCATTATAAAGTTACTTTTGTCTGCGATTGGTGCATAGATACTTTTTATCTTCTTAGAAACATATACAAGAATGTTTTGGTCCTCTGAATCACTTTACCACAATTCATTGTGGCATTCTTTTGTAAATGCTTGTGTATATTAATCCTATCCTTGATCTGGACAGATAACAGAAAGTTTTACTCCCTTTTGTTGCTTAAATAATGTCACTTTTAAGTAGCTTTGTGAATTTCTAATTGTTTCAATTTCCGTCTCTATGAAGTAATACAAAACTCTATAGAAGCCATTTAATGTATTAAGCAGAATTACTCTCTACTATTGCCTTTCATGATGAGTTAGATATAGCAATCCTCGTGTATCATGGCCATATGATGATTATGGACATTTTGAAGCTCAACACTGTAAGTTTTAGTTGGATTGTCATTTATGTGATAGCTGCAGTATTTGTGGTTTATTGGAGAAGGGAACACGGCCGCCGCGGGTGGTTGTTACCTATTTACAGCTGTAACAGAGATGAAGATCAGAATAGATGAAAGGTAGCTTCATGTTTATACAAACTGTATCAAGCTTTTCATTTTCAATTGCAAGGCTATATTTGGTCATGAACTTTATTGTAACTGTTGGAAATTAACTCTTGTTGTTGGTAACCAGTTACATTAATGTGTTAAGTTGGCCTTTTCTCAGTTTTCACTAAAAAGTTGATGTAGAAATAAAATACTCCTAGGTAGCTTTTACTCCTTTTTATATGTCATGTTCACATCAACAAGATCACACGACAAGGCATTGATTTCACCTTTTGCAGACAACAAATTTCAAATTTGAGAATTGTACATACCTACACTGGGGACTGAACATTTACTGCCTTCACCTAACTTTTTTAAAAAAAAAAGTTATTTTGTGGTCTATTGAGTGATTTCAAATAGTAAAGGAATTTGAATACATTGAGGTCAAAGAAAGGCTTTATGTTGCTTTTTTCTGTGAAAGAAAATCTTCTATTTGAAGCTCTTTATTATTCTATCTTCTTTTTCATTTAAATTTATTCTCTTTTCTTATGATTAATTTTCTTTAAAGCTTAAGAAAACCTGTCTAGTAAACTGACAACTCAGAAATCAATTAACCTTTATAATTATAGAAGTTTTTTATATTAATAAGTGCATTGTAAGTTGAGCAACAAAGCACATTAATTTTCGATTAAAAAAAAACAGAAAATTGGAATCCTAGATCCTAAATTACCTCATCAATTAAAAAAAATTAAAGAAATAACAATTGATTAAAAGCACTTCTTTATTTTATCTTAAACACCTCAAAGTGTTTAAAAGTTATATTGAGTTTAAAACATTTAAAATAAATCAATTCAAACAAACCCTAAAAATGACTTTAAAATATCATGTTTCGCCCATTGAATTATATTTGTCCCGAGCATTATTTTCAAACTTAAAATTACCTCTCGGTGAGAGATACATGCACATTAAAAAAAAGATACATACACAGAAAACAACTTGTTTGGATGGTTGTTATCTGTTGCAATATGTTGTTAGTTTAAATACAATATTTGTTTTGATTATTGCTTAAATTTCACTGTATCGTATGGTTAAATTCATTCTTAAATAATAAGGAAAAGTCTCATTTTACGCAACGCTCGATTTGGTATGATCTCATCATCGTCTTGCGTTAATTTATTATTTAAATAATTTTATTTTAGATTTCACTCTATTTTTTTAATAATAATTGTACCTATACTCTATTTTTTTCAAACATATATTATGAAACACTACCTGACAATCATTCTAACAACAGTTAAGTGAACAAAAAACAAAATATGTAGAATATGAATATTAAATTTAATCGGGGTTCAATATGTGAATCGAAATTAGTAGATGGAAACCCAAAAAAGAAAAAACCATATAGAATAGATAGATGGACTAAAAAGTATAGAGTCACTGTTTAGAAGAAACTGCGGTTAGTCTCTACATATCCAAAAACTCCAGGTGCTAACTACTGTGTGTCTCTGTTTTCTCTTCTGTAAATGACGCATTCCCATGGCGGCGACTCCTAATTTTCTCTTCTTTTTCTTCACTTCTGAAGCATTTTCTCCACCCTACTGTCACATTCATCACCAGCAGCAGCAATCACTGTTGTCCCCTTTATTGCTTTTCTTCTTCACTTTCTCATTTTGTTCTCTCACTATTCTCATTTTTTCTCTTTACTCTAAGCTTACTAAGAAGAAGATTAATGACACTCATCAACACCTAATTAAAGTCCGACAAGACTTATCTATACAACAGGAATCTAAGAATAATGAACAACCGGAGATTACGCATCAATCTGACCCGACCCATTTCACCCATTCTATTCTTCTCGAGATCTTACCTTCCAATTCACCTAAATGGGTGAAACTGTTTGGTAATGAATTGGGTGATGATGCCCCGAATAAGATTGAATCGGGTCTTGATGCGAAAAGGGTTGAAGAGGATAAGGATAAAGAGAGGACGAAGAAAAAGAAACGGGCTAAGAAGAAGAGACCCGATTCGAATAGTGAAGAGGAAGGGAAGAGGGATTCTGGGGTTGTGAAGGAGAAAGAGGAATTGGTGTGTTTATACCCTTTTACCAAGTCTTCTAGTGCAACTCAGAGGAAAATTAAGCAACATTACGATGAGCTTGTTAAGTCTCATGAGTCGAATGGATTGACTCTGGCTCAGGTTTTGTTACTCTTTCTTTTGTCTGCTTGATTATTAATAATTGTATACAGCATATACCAATCTTTGAATTTAGTAAAGTTTGCGTATTGATGTGTTTATTGTTGAATTAGAAGGCTGTTCATCACTGTATAGCTTACCTGCCTGTGATGTTTGTACTGAGATTCTGAGCTGAGGGTCTCTCGAAAACAACCTCTCTACCTCCAAGAGGTAGGGTTAAAGTCCGCGTACACTCTACCCTCCCCCAACTCCACTTAGTGAGATTTCACTGGGTATGTTGTTGTTGTTTGTTCTATATTCAACCTTCATGATAAAGGATATCTGCATTTCAAACTTGAATATGAATAGTATTTGCTTTAAGGTTTCATGAGCTTGAGCATTGGTTCGGCTTAATTTCAACTCTCCATAAGGCTAAATCTTGTCATACATTGGGGACTAGGTAAAAGTGTTACACAATTCAATGTTTGCCAGCAGTTGGATAGTAGGTTTCCTCGCCTTTTTAACGATTTCTTTGTCTTGTTCAAAAGACAGGAATTAAAAATTATCCAGGGTAGTGTTTGTTTGTTGAAGCTACTCCAGTCTTTTTCAAGAGTAACAGTTTGGGGGCTAATCAGTTTGTTTTAATGAAGACACGTTTAACATAATTAGTTGGAAGGAAAATATTAATTTGAGGTAGTAGGTGAAGAAGTTGTTTAGGTGTACTGAGTCAATTAATTAATTGGAAGGAAAATATTAATTCAAAAATTTGGTCAATGTTTATGATAATTTTTAGAGTCAAGTGGTTGATGCCAAACGACTTGAAATAACAAATCAGCAGCTGACAGGGACAAATAATAGATAAGATACAGAGCCAAAGCCAGAGGGAATTTCCATTAGGCATCATCTGGACAATATGGTCATAAATGAAAACAAGTGTTTTGAAGGGAAAGAGGAATACATTTCATTCCGTAAAGTCTAGATGTCTCCAAAAGCTATACTTTGGGTTAACCTGGTAAAAAAAAAGATCTGCACTTTTGGATTAGGAGAAACGTTGTAGATGATGTAGCACAAATAATTGTCTTTTTTTCTTAATAAGTAATGATATTTTATTAACGGTATGACAGCACTAAGGCAGACGGGAGTGGGTTAACAATTACAAAGTGCGCAAAGCCCCAATCATATCTAACCTATTAAAGGGGGCAGATCCACACTTTTTGGGTTATCTATCAGTACCACCTTGGTAATGATTGTTAATAAAAGTACCTCAATTTTTCAGGTGTCTATGCATTGAATGAGTATCCCACCTTAGGTAGGAATCGAGAGATTGACTTCTTGGAACTTTGTGAAGTATTAGCTTTTCACTGGGGGGGGGGGGGGAGCATAATGGTAGCCAAATCCATAGATATATATCCTTAGAGACGGTGCAGATGAAGGTGTGCCTGAAGCACAGGGGGAAAACGCCTCAACTTGCTAGTGAGCTCAAGGTACCCCTTGAGAATGCATTTCAAGACAATGCTTCTCACAACCTTCAAGACTGAAGGCCAACACTAGGCTTGGTCTCTCTAAAGTTTTCTGCCTCGAAGATATGATTCTACATCAGGATTTCTGAGTTATACCTTAGCAAGTGGAAACATCTTTCCAGGTTGTGGGTATCAGTTTCAAGTTTGTGTGAGCTCGTTGCTTATCTAAATGGAGTATTAGGAATTTAGGGATATGCAGCAAATGCTCAGCAAGAACACTATTATTTTGCCCACTCTTTTATCAACTACCAGCTTGTAAAATCTGTTGTGGATCCAAGACATATCAGCACAACACCAACAAACCCAGTATAGTCTCACAAGTGGTGTCTAGGGAGGGTGTGGTGTACGTAGACCTTACCCCACAAAGGTAGGGTAGAGAGGCATAAGACTGGGCACCGGACCGGTTTGTACCGGTACCGGAATTCTGGTACCATTCCGGTCCGTTCTGGTAGTATTCAGAACGGAATGGGATACATTGAGCCGGTACACGTAACGAAATGGTAGCATGATTGGAACCGGTATACCGGTACCGGTTCATCTCCGTTCTGGTCCGGTCCCGGTAAATCATTTTTAATTAAAATTAAAAATAGTATTTGTGTCATTGTTTTATACTTTTATTAGCATTTCTTTTTTGTTTATTTAACTTTTTAAAATTACAAACTTAAGTTATTTAAATTTCAAGTTATAAGTACAACTTATAAACAAAAAACTTTATTAAACTTAACTTACAAACTTATAAGTAAAAATTTTAAAAAAATATCTTTAAAATAAATTTAAGTAAAATTACATTATAAATTTTTAAAGTTAAATACTACTCCCTCCGTCCCATTTTATGTGGCAACATTTGACCGGGCACGAAGTTTAAGAAATAAAGGAAGACTTTGAAATGTTTACCAAATTGCCCTTTAAAAAGTGGACTCACTTTTCTCTCTCCTCATAAATGTATTGGAGTATTATTTTAAGATTAAGTGGGACCAACAAGGGTAAAAGAGGAATTGTACCTTTAAATACTTACCATATTAGGAAATGTGACATTCTTTTTGGGACTGACCAAAAAGGAAATGGTGTCACATAAAATGGGACGGAGGGAGTATTAAACTTAGAAAAATAAAAAAATATTCATATTTTCGTAATTCAAAATAACTCAAATTTTATTTTTATTTTTTTGAAATAGCTATATAAGCCGTCCCATTTATCCCATCCCGTTCCGTTCCGGTCCGTCCCGGTATATAGTGGGATGGGACAGAACCGAGCTTCCATCCTGACAATTCCGGTCCGGTTCATCCTGGTACTGGTCAACAACCCGGTCAAACCGTCCGATACCGGTTCATTCCGGTCCGGTGCCCATCCTAGAGGAAAATTATGCTTGGAGGTGATCAATGAAGC